AATTATTTGTGTTGTTATTACAAGTGTTGCTGTGACCCCCTAGGAAAAGGTTATGCCCCGCCCTGTATATGTAGCCCATTTATAATTCTATACAATGTTCCAATCCAGTTAGTTTAAATGGAACAAAGGTCTTGGCTTCACAATTCTTGACTTAGGATAAGAAAAATGTATATATGGATACATGTGTGCCAAATAGAATATGTGTCCCCAAGCTTAATCACCCCCCCCCCACACCCCTGATAATACTAACAGGTAGGTAGGAGTTTCTCTTGTTTTTCTTACCCTCATAAATTTCCTCTGCAGGATCTAATAAAGGGTTTTACCCTGTTTGGTAAAAAAAACCAACAATCAATTTTGTCAGAGTTCTGTAATTCTTGCAGGGCAATGAACATGTTCAGTTAACTTTAGTTGGAGGCTGGAGGCATCTAAGAAATGTGCAATGATTGCTGTGCATTGAATTATTTTTTCTGAATATGTAGACATTTTATCTCTGTGTGACCTGGTTTTTTCGCTGCTTGGCAATAGAGAAAAAAAAATGCAACACTACTATATATTTGATAGAAATTTTTCTTCAGTTTTCAACACTTTAAAAGGAGACATTTAATGTCCTCAAAAGTTGATCTAGTGTATAGTTGTTCAACTTGGTTGTAATCCGTTAAACAGATGTCAGTTTTTGCATTCTGAACTGTAAGCTAATTAAAGCAACATCTCTATTCAGATTATTTTAAATCACACAAATGAAAGAATTATCTTAAAAATCTGTTTCTATTTTTTATTGAGTGTAATTATTGAGCATAGATTTAAGATGAGACTAAACTCTTCTGGTAAAAACAATGCTTTTATTTTAGCTTCAAATGAAGTTTGAACATTTGAAACGACTACATCAGGAAGAGAGATTGAAAGTAGAAGAAAAAAGAAAGCTTTTGGAAGACGAAATTATTGCATTCAACAAGAGGAAAGCTGCCTCAGACATATTGCAAGGCAGGCCTCTGCCTCCTACACCTACAGCTGGTTTTAAAAAAGATAAAGATCGGAAAAAGTAAGCAGCCCATTTTGAAAGATTGGAGGAAGGGGAACAATGTCTTAAGCAATATACGTCACTCAGAGATTCCAATGATGAAAATGATGATTTTAAATTTTATAGAAAAAAAGTTTTGATTAGGCACCTTGATGAAAATACTTGTTTTTCTTTTTATTTCCTTAAGGGATCCAGGTTTTCGGCTTGAGCTCCTATGCTTTGATGTCAGAGATCAGGAAATTGTGAACGTAGATGACGAGAGAACAAAAGAGAAGTTAGAAAGGGACAGATACCATCACAGGGATTCCCAGCAATAGTCTTTGGCTGTAATCCACAAAGGTTTCAGTGGTTAGGGCCTGATAGTAAGTCACAGAAACAGAACCGTATGTTGAATATTTTTAATACTTAGAGGAAGCTGTTTATCCAGTCCAAAAATTAGTGGTACGACTCGCATCAGATATTATAGTTTCCTTACTATGATTCAAAATATTAAGTAGAATTTTTAAAACCCTAAAGGTTTATTGTGCAATGCAGTGCAGCAACTGTGGTGGTATTCAAAATCTCAACAGCACATTGAACAATATTCATTATTTTTAGTCTTACAATTCTGTCTTAAACTGAAAGGCAGAACAATCCAGAGTGAAACTGCAGGAAGTCAGAGAATCAAGACATCCAGGGCAGAAAAGTAAAGATGCCTTTTTTAATATACTCTTTTCTTGCAGCCCAGTTTATTTTTCATTCTCGTTTTTTGTACTTTTTAAGAGTACTATTCTAACAGCAAAAAGTGTCCCAATGCTTGTCCTTAGATGACACGGAGGAGAAATCAAATTAGATCCTTTCTGAGACTACAGGCTCAACTTACAACCATTCATTTAGTAACCATTTGAAGTTACAACAGCACTGAAAAAACTGACTTTTGACTGTTTTTACACTTACAACCTTCGCAGCATCCCTATGATTTACATGACCAGAATTTGGGCACTTAGCCATGGAATGTATTTGTAACAGTTGCATTATCCCGGGGTCTTGTGATCGCCATGTGTAAGTTTCCCAGCTGGTTTCTAACAAGCAAGGCCAATGGGGAAGCCAGATTTGCTTAACAACTGCAGTGATTTGTTTAACAATTGCAGTGATTCGCTTTACAACTGTGGCAAAAAGATTATAAAATGGGGCAAAACTCACTTAACAACTGTCTTAACAACATAAACTTTGAGCTCAACTTTGATTGTAAGTCAAAGACTACCTATATTATTTCTGTGGGCAACTAAACCGGTATTCTGTCAAAAGAGATCAAATTAATTAACATGACTTGGTCATCCTGGTTCCTTATAAATGTTCACAAGCTGACTTCTTAATAATCTGCTGCAGAGAGTTGCTTTGTATTGATACCAAATTGATTGTTTTCTCATTTTTGAAGATGAAAACAACTGTCCCTTCTTTATTTCTAAATCAGTCCTTCATGATTCAAAGATCACAGAAAGAGTTCCAAGAAGATATCCACAAACTCCTTCGGGACTTTCGTATGTTATGGTTCTGCTTCTGGAGACCTCAATTTCGATACCCAGAAATTTATAGTTTCATAACTATTTCTTTTTTTACCTTGGATTGCCTCTCCCTCCCTTAGTTAACTGCTCTGGTTAGGTCTGGAAACATACTTCCTACTTTGGGACAAAAAAGAAATAAAATAGGAATTGTGAAGCTCTGCTCTATTTCCATCCTACCATGTGCAGGCTATAGACCACCTCTTCCTGTTTGCTTTTACTCCTGATAGATACTTTAAGATACATTTTTTGGCATTGTAAAACTGAAAAATCTTTCTTTTCTTTCAGCACCGGTTTCATGTGAACTGGAGAAGAAATTGTTCACAAAATCTGAGAGGAAGAAAGATGGATTGATACCTCCTTTCTTTTTCTTAATGTGTGTTCATTGGAAAATTGACCGCAGCAACCGCATTAAAATATGTAATCAGTTCTGCATCCTGTCCTATAGGTTGCTGTCAAATTAAGAATTCTCTCGAATGGACTTTTTTTTTCCAGCAGCTTGCACTTAAACTATGTACTTTTGCCAACAGAAATGCACATCAGCCTTCTGTACCAAAGATCACCATGCTATGAACTCTTGTGCTTTGGATCTGAAGGCAAATGACAGCTTCAGAGTGCGTTGGGGCATAAATCTAGCACAGGTCTGCAACTTGCTTTCCTGCCACTGCTCAGTGAGGGAGGAGAACAGCTGCTAGTTGCAAGGAGAGCTTTAAGGAAGAGCAGGGAAGTGCCACCTTCATGCAGTGCAGGCTCAGAAGCTCCTTTTGCCTTAGAATCTAAAGCACACCAAAGCCCCGATATAAACAACTTTCATTTAAGATACGAATACTGTATTATAATAGTATTCACTGACTACACATTATAATTGTTTTAAAGAATTTGTGCCTTTTTGATCTCTTAGCTATATAACCTTTAAAGTGCCTTTTATTGAATTGTATAAAATATGTAAAACAATATGTTTTAAAATGTGCACTTTGCAATTTTGTAATGATGACAAGCTTTAGAGTTAAAGTGGATCATGGTTGCCTTTACCATTGCAGTATTCATGCAAGCACAGACATTACTTGAAAACCGATACTGAAAATTAACTTGGTTGCAAGGGTGTCTTCTCTTTAAGCCACCTTCTCTCATCTATGGCTTAATTACACAATATGAAGGCTGGGAATGGTCATGTTAAAAATTAGATTGGGTTTTAATAAAAATTCTGACAACTTCATATTCATTTAAACATGTCCTAAGTATTCCTTGACACGAAGCCTTCCATCAATTTTAATTCTTATAATTTAACATCAAGTGGTAGAAGAAGAAAATGAATTTTTTTCACCCTGAAGTGAGCTTAAATAGGGTTGAATCCCATGCTTGCTTACTTGGACAAAAGTTCTGTTCTTCAAAGAAGCAATAAAACTTGATTTTGAAGTTATCCATTACTTAGGCAACCAGTAGTTCTGGTGCTTCCTGTTTACTAATAAATATAGCAGTTGCTTATGTAACCCTCATAGATTTCTGCTAATTATTTTATAAAACACATGTAGCTTGACAAATAAAGTTATTTGGTTAAACAATTAGTAAGTATTCCACAGTGCAATAGTGCTTGGATTTATTGGACAATAGAACTGTTCTTCCCAGTCTCACTGCTTTGCAAACTACCAGTCAGACACTGGAGCCATCAATCGTACTTTAGCACTACAAAGTTGAGAGAAATGTATTCATTAGTTGGATAGCAAAATTGTCAAAACCTATCTAAAACCCTGTTCAGATAGATTATTCCCTAATAAATAAGATCAATACTAGTTTCCTAGATTTTTCTCCCAACTATGTGTTCTCTTATAGAATTTTGAAAGCAGTTATGAATTCCAGAGGGGGGCCCTCATCTGGTGCTCATGCTTCCTAAAGCCCATGATGGCTTTTCAATAACATATTAACAAATTCTTAGCTCTACTAATACTCTTTGGTATAAATCCTACATATTAACTCTATTGCCATCTATATTGGCTTGGTTCCCATAAACTTATGCAATGACCTCCATTTTGTTATTGTGACCAACGACTAGGGCAGTGTTTTTCAACCACTGTGCCGCGGCACACTAGTGTGCCGTGACATAGTGTAAGGTGTGCCGTGGGAAAAACACTTTATATAT